GTCAGTGTGAAGTCGTGATGCAGAGGGCATCCAAGCCAAAATACGATTCTAGGGGTATCAAAGCTGCGAAGACTCTCTGTAAGCTATTAAAGGACTGATAGCCAGTCTGTGTAGTGGCTTCATGGTCATACAAATAGTGCCAGCATATTTCACGTCCCTTCCCACCGCACAAGGTCCATTTTCCCCCACTGGATACCACTGTTCGGTTTTGGTGAAGCGATGAGGACAGCGGGAGATAGTTTGAAGTTCTAAAGAGCCCGTAGCTTGGTGTGTGAGACTAAAAGCATCGCTACGGCACTAGCACCGGTTGGTTGGAAAAGACAACGCTAACAATCGGGCAGTTTAAGTACCGAAGGAGCTGTAAGGCGGCCGATCAGTGAGCTTGTTTGCAGCATCCTTCTCGTCTGTCGACGTCAAAAATAGCGCTTAATGCTGACCAGACCAATAAGAGAAGCAATGACACGAGCAAATAGAGGAATGGACTTTCGGTGCTATGCTGCAAACTTATGAAGCTTCGGAGCTCCCTTGCTGGTGTGTAAAGGTGAAAGCCACGCTTTGATTGCTTGAAGCCTCGCAGGATATGGCCCAATTTCTGTGGCCGAAACCCAGCCTACAGAAATAGTCACTCTCAAAAGAAGCAAACTAACACGTGCGGGCCTTCACAGACCACTGCTTCTCTTGCAAGAGTTGAGGTGCACGCCGTAGGGGTCGTTGATGCTCTTGAACCTTTCGACTAAAACCAGAAACTTACTGCTTAGAGCCAGTCATTTACACCTACTTGCTAAGCTTATGAAGTCTACCTGCTGTTGGGACTTAGCTGGGGCATCAACTAGTCAAACGACATACAGGTACATTCGAGTTCGCGATAGCAAGTGTGGAGCACTTTACCATGCCTTCATAAGAGTGACTCGGATTTGGAATAAGGCATCTGTGAAGTCAAATGCCAACTCTACAGACCCGATATTAGATTTTGCCAATATTAGGTGGCCTGAGCTCCTATATCACTGTAATATTGTTTAATTTAAGTCATATGGGCCACACAAAACGTCTCTTTTCGACGGCAGTGTCAGAATATGCTCAAAGGCACTAGCCGATTCCTTCACTTTGCCACTTCAAAAATCCACTCCCTTGTTGCTCAAGCTCTTCGTCATGGTGCTAGCGTTCCTGAAACCGCCGAACACAGCTATGGGATGACCCGGGAATTTGCTCAGCACGATGCCCTGGACGACCAGTAGGTGACCAGCTTGCTGGCAGTTCTTCACTGTTTACCACATTCGCGAACTCATCCCCCAAATATGGCCTTTCCTGTTGCTCTACGTTAGCCAAAGGCTGAACGAGTTTTCAAGTAAAGAACTGGTTACGGGGTTACTAAGACGCAATGCATGCTCAGAACCGTCGTCTCTTCCTTCGCTGCTGAGCCGTACATATGGAGACTGTGCCTCACCTTGTTGGAGAAATGGCTTTACTGCTCTCCCCACGAAGGAGATGAGTGCTGGTTAGGAGAACAGGATTTGGCTCTTTCTAGTGCCTTTCCGGCAAATAATCTCCACAGCAGGCAACTGTGATAGCATCAGTGCCTTTTATTAGACACTCATTGCACACCCAATGTTACAGCATGGTTTACGGGTCGAATACAGGAGTCACGGAACATGCTGGTAGGACTTAGCCCTATTCGATAGAGCGACTAATTGTACTATCCTTGTCATTCCTTGTTGTCTGGCGTCCGCCAACAAACCTATCCTTGGGACTGCACTGACGAGTGACCTTGCAGATTTTACTTCCGTGTGGTCTCTCCAAAATAGGCAATTTACTCAACATCCGCGGCCACTAGTGCTAGTAGATCTTGACCATTAATGCAGTCTTATTCCAACGCTGAAATAATCACAGCTAAATAGTTGTGACTGCCGCCTCCTCAGCCCCCTTAACTATGCAGCACCCTGCGTAGGGGTGTTTTGCCTTTCTCTGACGCGACTTTTTTGCTCGCCACGCAGCCTGCTTTCCATAGGCCTAGTCTAGTTATTAAAGTTCATTAGTATTTTTACATGTGCTTGCACCGCAGGAATAAAAGGCCCAATTGTCCACACTAGAAGCAAGTGCACTGTTGTGGGATATTTGGGATTGCACAGATTCATTCGGTTTTTTGTCTGGCTCCCCTTAAGTTGTAGGGCAGGGTGGTTTTATACATTCTGAATACCATAGGCTCTAAATCCAGCCTTGGCACTTCCTGATTAGCCAAAGAGAGGAGAGGTGTGCTCATTCGCTCATAAGACCCCATTCAGTTCTTCAGATGTGGAAGCCCAACCTGTCGGTTGCTTTAACGCTGCGTCGCTGCTCATCTTGTAGCCATCAGAAGCCACACTTTGGCTGGACCTAAGTAACCTCTTAGGAATCAGCTGTTCGTTTACGATGTGATTTTGGGGACGGAAGTTTCATTTTCTTCTATATGCCGATCTTGATACTTTTCCTTGCTTAGCTTTATCATTTGCCTCAAGGCTTGCCGTTAAGCTCATTTATGAAAGCTTAAACCACAGTCATTCCTAAAACCAGATATATCCCGCTGCAAGGATCGAGCCTTCATTTCAGTGCTTCTCCATTCAGTGAAGATACCGTAAGAAGCATTCGGTTCTTCCACCTAAGAGCTACTAAGCAGGTAAATCTCCAACGGGCTGGTAAAATTGAACAATTCCAGCCTCACAACCGTCATATGTTTCTGACCGACACCTGATAAACGCATACAAAGACACTTTCTTGACTGACTAGTCGTGCCACTACCGATTCTCATCACAAGGGGGCCGTTTCCTCCACCGTGTTGCGATAGGATATCAGATTGCGAAAGAACCGGATGTTTGCTTGAAGCCATATTACTGTTGTAGGGAAAGCTGGAATCTCACTGCATCCATACCTTGCGGATAAGCGAGGAACATTTGCATCAAACCTGCGATGCCACCAACTTTAAAGCTGCATCCAAGGTCTTCTAAAGAGAGACCGAACTTTTGGCTAGCTGCAAGCTTGGTGAAAAAGCACTGAGTGTTTCTCAAAAGAACGCCCCCTTCCGCTTTCTCGCCCTTCAAAGATCCTGAAATGAGGAGAAAGGGACAGCTAGGATGCTTTTGGCTGCACTTTCAAGGCTCTCCGAGCGTTGACAGCTGGTATGACATAGCATACAGCGCACCCTCACACAGCGTTGCGTCTTCTCGTGTTGACCCAACAGCTTCACACAAGGAAAAATGCAGCAAACTAATTCGCCGATCCCGCATTACGTCTTGGTTAAGTATAATTAGTGTGGTAGAAAGTGTATAAGCGTGACATAGCTCGCTCTATTGCAGCTGTTCCTGTCCGCTCAGGTAGGAACTCTGAGAGGAAATAGGGCAGCTTTTTTGCGAAGCAATCAATAATTCCTCATTAGGTTCGTATTTAGCCTGGAGTTATTTGTCTCCTTGGAGAGACAGATGGCGCGCTACACCTTGGGTGGAGCATTGTGGAGTGCCTGCGCTTTGGGGCCATAGTGGGTACCAAAGGCAGCTCACTTGCTGCAAGCCGACTCATGTGGGCTCAGCAAAAACAAAAACTTGTTCGCTCTACGTATTACAACGGGGAAGCCCCTACGTATGGACTCATTGGCCGAGAATGATACATTGAAAATATTCGTATTTATACTTCTAGCTATGACCCTGATGGCAATTAATTAATTCGAAAGAGCATGATTAGAGGAGTTTCCACCTGAAACTTGCCTACTTTTGGGCGCTTTCGCCCGGTCTCCTCTTCATCTTACACAAGGCGCAGATACCCCATGGGCCAGCAACTGATCGAAGCACAGGGAGAAACAAAGTACATTGGAGGACACATGTAAACAAAGCGTGAGACCACTGTCCATACAGGCACTTGAAGGATTCGCCATCACTTGAGTTCACGGCACACACTGCAGCTTTGTTTTGTCCGACAAGTACATACACGCAGAAAAACATTGCTTCCGTACGAAGTTCTAGCGTCCAGAGGATCTAGAATTGCAGGAATACCGCAGCATATACAACGCATTTTAGTGGTATTAGTTATGAGTTATTGTACTTAATCTAGCTGGTGTCTGCACATCCACGGAGACAGTTGCAGTGTAGTACGTGCTATGGAAGAGCATTGCACATGCTGGCTTTATAGGGGTTCCCATAAGGGGTAGGGCAATATTCTCACTGAAATCATGGATACTGTTGCCAATAACGAGGAGTATTATGCAAGGAGTCACACTTCGTCAGCCGTAGGAGCTGCTGCAGCTGCTGCGTTCGTCGTCTCAGCGGCTGCTGCTGCTGGGTACGACCCCATAGAGACTGTCGCTGCTGTTACTGCTGCTGCCTACAGACATTTTCTTCCAGGTTTCAACATCAATACGGAAATTCTAGTCTCCTTACTGGTATCCGCTCGTTTCGCTGCTATCGCAGCAGCGCAAGCAGTGGCAGCAGCGAAGATCCCCAAATCCGGTATCAGTTGTACTGTATCTATCTAAGTGTTTCGGCAGAAACAGCAAAAGCAGCATCAGCAATAGATATTCCAGGAGCTGGAGCAGCCACTGCAAACCCTGCTACTCCTGGTACCTGTATGCCCTCCACACTGTGCCCTACTGTCCTGGAAACTAACATTTCGGCAGCAGCAACAAAGGCTGCCACAGCAGCAACAATACCGTCAACACGAAAACCGCACCAAATAATGCAACAGGTCCAATTGTAGGTTTTACACACAGCTGTTCGAGACGTGCATACAGTGCAAGCGCTCTCTTAAGCCCCCCCCTGCGCTAGTTGTCCTACCTGTCCAGCAAGAACAAGGACCCGAGCAGCAGCACTAGCAGCATAAGCACCACCAGCAGCAGCAGCAACCCCATCAGCAGCACAGCCACAATTCCTTCGACCAACAAACACGGCAACGCCACGCGCAAAGCAACGCCATCAATAGGCCCATTACATCCCCAGAAGCTCCTCCACGACCAGCAGCGGTGACATCAGCAGCCAGAGAAGATGGATATTTGGCTGTTTATCCTGGGCTACTTGATCCATTTTGTTGCGAGTTGTATCCTGACATACAAGGTGTTTCAGCAGCGCACCATATATGGCCTGTCTTTCGATACACAGCTCTGCTTCCTCGCCTCGACAGTTTCCCGCTGTATTTGGAGCCTAGACACCAGACTAGTGGAGGTGAGATGTCTGCACACGCTTTCTCGGCCTGCTTAGGGCCACATGCTTTTAGTTGCTTCAGCGCGCGAAGTTGGTTCCATGAGGCATCGTAGCTTTGCTGCTGCGCATGCGGGTGTTGTTGCTGCAGACATGGCTCGCATACTTGGAACTAGGCCTGAGTACCTTCATGTCGATCCTCCTTACATATCTCATGTGGTCCTTCCGCTATACCCACACGAAACAGATGATCTTACCTCTAAGAGCATACGTCCTCATACCGGGTAACCACCGTCAGAACCCTGGTAGCTCTATAGGCCCCTTTTATCCTTCGAAGCGAAACTTGATACCATGACTGTTGCAAACTACGCTGCAAATGCTGCTGCTAAGTGTGTGCCCTTTGGCGCGCTGAAGTTGCTGGCTGCCCCCCCATTCTACCCCTGCCCATTCTCTCCCCCTCCCCCCCCAGAACACTCTACTCGCTCCTACGCGAGCCTCTAGGTTTGGCTGCTCGTGTGTCTGGTTTCTCCGCTAAAGATTTAAGGGTCTCCCTGCCGCTGCAAAGATACCCTTGATACATCTCTGTGGATATATATATATATATGTGTGCTCTGCTGCAGCATCTATGCTGGTTGCCTTTTTCATACATCCGAGCCGCAGCTGGATCACCGTGCAGATTCTTGTTGCCTTCTCGATATATCTGGAAGCCATCGCCCTGTTGCCGCAACTTTATTTCCTCAGACGCATGCTGGAGGTCGCACACACAGCGGACGCTAAACCGTAGTAGTAGCACACCCTAAGGCCTGCGATGTCGAATTGGAACGGTAGAGCCTAAATTCGCGAGCTGATTCCAGATCCCGATAAGTTTTCGACTGATAATGCAGAGCTGGGATCAAGGTGTATGCGCAGGTGGAACCCCTGACCTCGCACTATGTCGGGCTTTTAGTCGTCTCCCGCGTCATTCGCCTCTTCTTCTGGGTCACTTTGTACCTACAAGGCAAGCATTTGCAACTTTGTTCCGCCGTTACACTCTGCTGTCACCGGCACAGCCCGTTTCTCAGCTTTGCTGCTGCTCCTGCCGTCCCTTGTGCTGTCAATCTGCTGCATCCATTCTGATCGCTGCTGTCGATGCTGCCGTTTTAGGGGAACACTTCGTGGGCCTATTCCTCGCCGACTTGCTGCACAGCGTCCTCGCTGCCGACTACTTTGTCATGTGGTGCCGCAAACTGCGCCATGGTGGCACCTTGATTTACAAGGGCCGCGTGTAGCGCGGGCTGGGCTTCCACTAGCTAGCTAGCTAGCTGGCAATGGGGCAGCTAGAGTATCAGGCCAATGGGGGAACTAGGTAACCAACTGGCAGGCCAACGGAGGCTTCAGCTAGCTGAGTGGCCAGCCGATCGCCTACAGATCTCGTTAAAGGGGAGTAAAGGTATGTAGACTAAGGTGGATGGATGTACAGCACAGGCCCCAAGATACAAGGGAGGCTCTACCTTGCTATTCCTGGGCCTACCTACAGACACCCCAGGGCATGGGTAGCAGCAACAGCGCGCCACTAGCACTATACGGCAGGTAGCCAGTGTGCCGGCTGGGCAGCTCTAAGCACTGCAGAGTAAGCAGCAGTAGCAGCAGCAGCTGCAGGTTCAACCGGTCAGCAGGTGTACGTGCATGTCGCAAGACAGATACAGGCGATGACAGGCAGGACAGTGGAGGTTGCTGCTGGTCACAGCGGGCTATCTCCCTCTCCTCGTTTCCACACATGCATTCTTGTGTCGTGCTGCTGCAGAAGCCACTGTATGCAGCGGCTGCAGCAGCAGCAGAGAGGGAAGGACAGGAGCAGCGGGGCACCGGCTGTAGCCGGTCGATTTGAAGACTGACGCGTTTTTGCATCGCAGCCAGCAGACCAAGCCGCTTTTCAGCCCACCTGCCATTGTGCAGCTAGCGAGACTCGCTAGAGAAGCAGACAAGTCTGCGGGGCTTACTACAGTGGCAAGACGGCTGACTAACCGTGCGAGAGTTGCAGCCTGGCCTACGCATTCCGCTACACATATTTACAAATCGCTAGAGTGCTTTGTGCACGCATATGGGAAGCCTTGTCTGTTGTTTTTCGTAGAGCTGCTGTAACAGCCGGTGCACTAACTCTTAATGCATAGCTCCTGGCACAGAAAGCGGCGGGCGCGGATGCGGCACCTTGTGACAACAAGAAAGTGGCCGCTTGCCAAATATCCATCGCCGCTACTCCCGCTGCCTGCTGCCCCTCAATAACTTTCAAGGCAACCGCCTAGCTCGGCACGCACTCCCTCCTAAGGCACGTAGGTTACCTGCCTGTAGCCTTGTCCTTCTCTTCCAGTGGCGTGGTAAGCTAGCTGGGTAGTTTGGCTGGTGAGCATACGCGCTGGCCAAGGGACTCACTGCTGCTCGGGAGGCGCTCCGCCGCTTACCAGCTGCGGCCTTCTCCGCTCTCTCCCGACGGTTGCGTAAAGAGAAAGTCTTTGCATTGAATCAATCCATGAGAAATTGGCGAAAGCCGCCAGAAGACGGTTCCTCCTCGGCAATTGAAACTCTCAGCTGCCTAAACATGCTTTTCGGTGTGGAGATGTAGCAAAAATTTACAGCACCACGCGCCCCTGCTGCTTCTGCCGCAGTGAGCGAAGCAGCGGCAAAGCCCGCAGGTTGCTTGATCTGGATGATGCACTACACGGCAACATGTTCGCCGTTCAGAGAGCAGCGCAACATAGAAAAAGCAAACCAGCAGCGGCGAAACCGCCGCTTCAGAAGCCTCCGCGAACAGTCTCGCCGCGGCAGAAGCTGCACCCGCGCTGCAGTTGTAGATCTTTTTGCCACTGAGCTCCTTCAAATCCTCGGCTCGAAGAGAGGGACAATGGAGTCTATATGCTCTTTCCGCTTCATCAGGATCTGCGAGGGCATAGCAACCGCGAAAGACGGGGATTTGTAGATAACGGGCACGTCGCCCCCGCCATTTGCCGCGGCTTCTGTTTCTGCTAAAGACTCACCATTTCCGCTATCCATACGATGTTTCTGATTTCTTGCTCCTTCAGTTTTACCCAAGCGTAAAACACACCTGATGGACAGAAACCCCAGCAGCAACACCAGCAGGCCATACACCGCAAGAGCACGAAAAAAAGGCGCCGCAGCAGAGTCCTCTCGCGCTCCTGCACTGTCAAGCAGCTCCAAAACAACACTCCAGCGGTTTTTTCCGCTGACCGTAATGAAATTGCTGCTCGAAGGCCATTTCACACATGTGGACCATCTCCCGGTACAATAAATCCTCCAGCGACTTGAATCGGGCAGTCAAGTCTGCCTTTTCTCTTTCCTTCACGGCAGAGGCAGCACAACAAGGCACGCAGACAATGGCATTCCAATAGAGGAAGCTGCTGTAATCGCGGTGCCACCGCCACACTGGCGAGGATCCCAGCCACCACAAGCCACTGCCACAAGGCCCCCCGAGGAGCACCAGCAGCCTAGGGGAATTGACTGCATGCATGCAGAGATACGCCACATCAACACCGCCAACAAAGGCAGCAGGAGTACGGAAAAGCGCCTACGTCACCGATGTAGAAGGCGCGGCACTGGTCATAGACGTTCAAGTAGCGCTGCAGCAGAATGCAACACAGCACAAGTCCATTCGGAACGCTTGCCGTAGGGAGCAAACGGAAAGAGTAAGAGAGAGGGAAGGGGAGCTGAGAATCCTGTTGCTCTTGGGGCAGACGAGACACTGCGCTAAGGGGAGGCGACAAGTGGCGGCTGCTGTGGTCTCATAGGGGCAGCAACAACCGCCTAAAAAATGTACTGGATAAGGCTCTAGGGCAGCGCGAAGGGTTGAGTCATTCCACGCCTTGCGGATCCTATCAGTCCCTGAAAAAGCGGCTCCGCACGCTAGGCAACAACATACAAGGCCCATAGGAAGCGGCGAGAAGAGCAGCAGTCGGCAGCAGCACCTTTCTGCCCTTTGCGAAGCAGGAACCAGCGAGGCAACATGCGCTCACTCACCATCCGGATAAAGGTAGCCGAAGCAAGGGAAAAGCGCGTGCCTCTCGAGCTGCTGCTGCTGCTGCTGGGGATCCGTGTTGAGGGAGTTGATGGCCAAAGACAACACCCTAAAGTCGGCTTCGGTCTGAAGCGAAGACACGCGGCGTGCGCACAGCATCCCCTCACCCCTGTAATTCCATTATCCAGACTGCGCTTCGTGATTCCATTCCCTCAAAGCCCGTGAGTGGAGCAAGCGACAAGCGGTAAACCTTTTTTCGCGAGTGCAGCAAGCGAGGCGCATGAAAATGAGTGGGAGGCAGGGAAAAAATAAAGCCCCCGAAGGAAGACCGCCTTGCATGCACATTTAATGCTAAGGCCACTGGAAATGCGTGTAGACGAGGAAATCGGGGGGTTGAGAGGAGCTACAGAATACGGCAAGCCCACGCACGAGGAAGCACGCGGATGCAAGGAAAGAGAAAGGAGCAGGCTGCGCTTGCCTTTAAGATATGCGTCATGACTTCCCGTGTTGTGGAGTCTTCCAGGGTCTGTACAAAGCCGTAGAAGTCTTCGAGCCATCCCTTCTTCAGGGAGTTTCGCAGTAAGTCTGAATAAAAAGGCTCAACCATGAATGCGCAGACAAAGAAGGCTTCGGTAGAGGCCCACCCAGATTCCGCCCCGTTTCTCTTGCGCATTCGTTCTCTAAAAAAGCCTTCTGCGCGCAAGACCAGGAGCTTGAAATTGCGTGGTAAGAGACAAATGGCCAAGAAGCGGCGTGTGACGAAGGAAACTCGGAATGCTGGCGGCATGAATCTGTAAGTGTCGCTGAAGCTGCTGCTCATATGGACTTCCCCCCTCCCATCCCCCCCGTTCCTCGGTTCCAGCAGCCCCCTTCTCGCGATTGCACGAGTTCACACTGCTCCTTCCGTCGTTCCCTATTTGGCTGTAGCCTTACCAATGTCTGCTTCCGTCATAATGTGCTCAACCTGCTGCATGGTGTGGCCGCCCTCTTCTCCCGTTGCATGCGCTGCACTGTTAGCCAAGAAGACCTCAAAGTATCTCCCGACAGGAGTATCCACTAGGAGGCTTCGGTAGAGTTCCTCATACGAGGCAGAAAAGTCCATCTGCGCAATGGCGCGCATCTCTGAAAAGTATCCCAAGGGATCTGAGCGAGCTAGCAGCTCCTCAGCAGGCTTGCGGTTTAAGGCGCCTTGGATCAGGCCCACCATGTTATCCACCATCTTATCTGCCCTAAAGCGAGGTGCGTATACAGTCGCAGCGAGGAAGGAAACGACGCATGGAAACAAAGATGCCTTGAATCACGCCCACCCTGTTCGTGTCCAGCACCTCGTCTGCCCTAGAACGAGGTGCGTATACAGCCGCAGCGAGGAAAGAAACGACGCATGAAACAGATTTTTTGCGCAGGCCGCACGGCGATGCACCAGATACACAAGGAGCGCTCCCAGCCACTCATTGGAAACAAACAAAATATATACATGCATACACAATTCAGAAAGGGAAAGTGCAGTTAGAACGGAATCTTGCTGCAGAAAGCAGCAAGGCAAGCCTCCTTTTGGCGGCTACAACGCGCCAGAAGGAAAAGACAATTAGGAAACAACAGAGCACCTCACCACACCGTGGAAAGGGGGGAAAGATCCAGCTTACGCGATGTAGTCCAAGAACTTGCCAAGAGGCTGGTACGCCTGAGACTGGAGGTACCTGAAAAAGCATCATAGGCGGATAGACGCAGGACCGGGCAGCCGTATGCACAAGTGTCTGACACTACGTTCCCCCTGCTTTCCTGCTGTCTGTACACCTCGCCAAGCTGTGTCTGCATCTTCCCGTGCGCCTGCCTGCCTGTCCTCCGCCCTTGCACTCAGAGACAGTGCTGCAGCACTCCTGTCTAGACGCAAAGTTCGCCAGCTCGCTAGCAAGCAGAAGTCATGCCACCAGGAATACACAGCAACGCTCTCAGGACGACTCGGGGAAAGACAACGCACTTGAACTCCGCAGTCAGTTTGCCGCGTGCCCTCTGGGCAATTGTGGGGATGGCCAGGGGCAGCGGCTCATCTTGCATGAAGTATCCGTAGTCTGTTTCCTCCAGAGCCGTCCGTAGATCTGCGTCATTCACAAACAGCAAAAGCTGCCGCTGAAAAGCATTTCCGTGTACACTATGAACCCTGGAGCGCGCACCCCCCAGTGTAAATTTGACATTTCAAAAAAAGATGCGCCCCCAATGCATAAGGACAAGCCAAGTCCGAATGTGTCAAGCCTTCGCATATCCTCAAAGATCCCCCGCATGAGCATCTCTTCGCGGCATATCGAGACGCTGCTATCCCCCCTCCCTCCCCTTCCACTTTGATCCATTGCTGCCCCTGCCTGGCTACCAGTGATCTGCCTCCCAGCAGTTGGTGCTCTTTCCCTCTACTCTGCCCTATCTATGTAGACACATATACACATATGCATGCATATGTGTACACATCTCCGGAAGCTCTCTTTTGAGAGGCACCCGTATAGGCACTCCCCTGACGGTACGGAAGGCGTCCAGCTGGCTCGCAAAAACCTACCTTCAAGCGTATCGGCATTGGCGAGTCGCTTGTAGTCTTCACGCGTGAGGAATGACCCCCTAAGGCCCCTCACGATCCCCTCGAGGTACCCGTCGTGCACGTTAAACAGAGAGAGCTCCATCTTGATGGTTTCTGTTTGAGGCTGCTGCTGCTGCTCAGGGCAGTGCAGCTAAAGGTACTGCTGATGCCGCACAGGCCACCTGAAGTGACTGGAGAGACACCGAAATACGGTCACCTCAAGAATGTGAGACGCGAATCGGGGGCTTTGACGATGCCAATCGCTCGGTAAGGCAGCAGCAGCAGCTGCTGCTGCTGCCGTCGCCGATAAGGCGCTTCCTGCCTTCAAAGCCACTACGGCTGGAACGCGGAGTTCGACTTATGATCTCTGTAGAGGTTTCAGAGGCCCTTGTTGACTTGCATTGCCGGTGCTGCTCGCTTTGCTGCTGCTCGCTGGTCTGCTGGCGCCGAGGTTGGAGGGAGGGAGGAAGGGAATAAGAAGCAGCTGGTCATAAAAGCTAATTTTGTGCTGCTGAAACCGTGAAAACAGTTCGTTGAAGTTGTTACGAGTCTGGAGTACCAGCGCTGCTACTGCTGCCGCTTCCCCAGCGAGCTCTTGGTGGTCTGTTCCTGCGCATGCAGAGGGCCGCTGCAGCTCTCGCCGCCGCTCCGTATGGCTATCCCATGCAATTTCTGAAATGCGTTGCACTATGAATACCAACTGTTTCATCAAGGTGTAGCGACTTCCCCCTGTCTGCTGCTGCAGTTGCTGCTGCAGTTGCTGCAGCTGTCGTTCGCGTCTAGGCAGCAGCAAGTGCTGCTGTGCGTTTCTTGCGTTGTACAGACACTCCGACCAAGTAAGCCGCCAGCTGCCCCGCCCTGGTGCAGATTTGCCTATCGAATCACTTATGCTGCACACACATCGGACGGCCACTGCTGCTTGTGCTGCAGCATCAGATCGAGGATTTCCGTAGGGGCCTTCGGGTGCTATGCTGCGGAGATCTGCCTCCTCTGCGGCTGCAGCCTGCGATTCGGACGTGGCCGTTCTGCTCGAGCTGCTCTTGCAGGTGTGTTGCTTTCGATGCTCTGGAATGTGCAGGCAGAATGAGCGGTCAGGGCTTGCACCTGCCTCCCTCGAATACGTCTCTGCGGGAAGAAGAGACGGCGGCCCTTCAAGGGAATGACATGGCACTGCGCATTCAGATCAAAGGTGACACCAAGCAGCTCAGTGTAAGTTCGGAGATTTCCCCTAATGGATGGTCTGGCAACACCCGCAGCTGCTGGCGTAGCCGCTTCTGCTGCGTCTGCCGGGGGGAGGAGAGCAGGAAAGGCTGCTGGCATCTACGAGGACGCCCGTGCCTGCTGCCGTAGCTGCTGGCTGCTTTTGCAGATCGAGAAATAGTGCGTTGCTGCTGTTGCTGCTGCTGCTGCTACAGGTGAAGTGCAGCAGCGAGGTGGGTTATGTGAAGCTCTTGTTGGCGCAGCAGCTCAATGTGGATGCCAGACGGCTGCGGCTGTACGCAGAGGGCGCTGATGGCCAGAAGAAACTCCTTATCGACCCTATGTCTCTGTGTGACTATAAGGAGCTCGCCGCATCCTCGGCTACCCTTTTTGCGGAAATAGACGAATGATTTGCGCCTTCCCCACTTGAGCGGCGCGGCCTCCCCCCCGGCAGGCTGTCGAGAGTTCCTCCTTTGAGCGGCTTACTGCGCGATCCCCCCTTCTGCAGGCAGCTCCCCAGGAGGCTTAAGACAGCGACAGGTGGCTGCGACGGCGTGGGGAGGCCGCTTAGGGGTGTAGGTGAAGCTTTGGGATGCGCGAAGCAGCGTTTCTTCTTCTGTTGCATCCCAGAACAGTTCTTTTTGTATAAGTACCAGTGTAGAGGTCTTTTGAACGGGGCATTTTGCTGCGTGGACTCAGTCACTGACGCAGAGCAGCCGTCTTGCTGGAATCTCTATTCTGGTTGCCACAGCAGCAAGCAGCACAAGGCGTTCTTATCGCCGACACACCGAGTCCTCTACGCAGGTGCTGCAGCAGGATCGACAAAAGGTGCCTCTCTCATCCACACCTTTGCCTGGCTTTAAAAGAAAGTGTCGCAATTAAATCTGTAGTATAATTTTCCGCCCAGCCGGGGCTGCATATGCACTCCCGGTCGAGCTCCAATAGCAACTAGGCAGAAAAACAAGAGAGCGAGGTGGCCTGTATCTGCTGGGCAGGCACCCAGAAAGGTAGCGCAGTTAGCGCCCTTGCCAGTTGCACAGCTAGCAACAGTAACTAGCCATCCAATCAGCCGCCGGCAAGCGGAAAATCGGGAGGCCAGCTTGCTCACCATTAGGCCAAGTGGTGGTAGGCAGTCCGTTAGGCAACTATGCCTGGCAGTGGTCGCCACCCACTAGCAGCTGGCTAAACAGCTAGCTACTTCGTTAGCTGTGACGAGGCAGGGCCGGGGGACGAGACCTTAGGCACATTAAAAACCTTTACCCAATGGGGGCTGCAGGAGCAACGCTCTTCGTGCGCAGGGGAAGTGAGGCGTAGAACTGTGCGCCATTACGGCGACGACCCCTCCCCCTTATGGATCGAGCGAGTCATCTCTATTGCAGCTCGAGTGCCTCCGTTCCCCTTGAACTCGGCTCTTGCGTGGGTAGAGAGAGGGGGGGAGGCGGTGGTTCGGTGCTATAAGGAGGGGGTTCTGCTGCTGCGGTGCGCCGCGGAGAGCGGAACCTCTACAGCTCAGTCAAGTCTGCTGTCAGATGGGCGGGGGAGTCCACATGCATTGCGTGTTTTTCGCTCTCTCTGCCGAACGTCAAGCCTCCCATTGAAGGAGACATTGAAGGGGCAGAGGAGGCCGCACTGGCCGTAGGCTGAGTGCCAGCTGCAGCAACAGCCGTTGCCACGAATGCAGCGGGGGGCACTACTGCTGTGCATGCCCTTGTTGCTCCCCCTCCCCCGCGATTTCCCAGTCGCTGCCCTCCTCCCCGTGGTCTCCCCCGTGGTCTACCCCTGCTGCTGCCTCTCCTCGACGCGGAGCTGCCGTACGCTGCGGTGGAAAGCCCCCCCGGACCAGTGAAGGGGCCCCCCACAGGGGGGCCCCCTGGCGGGGTCAGGAAGTGGGAGTAGGGATCGTCAAACTCGTCCAGAGGATTGTTGCATCTGTCCGACACCTCCTCCTCCCCGTCCTCCGTGCCAATCAATACCCCTTCTAAACCCCGTGGAGCTCCCCGAGCTCCTCGCAAGCCTCGAGACATACCGCGGCATGAGCGTAAGGCCTGCCTAGCGCGCAGCAACTCGGGAGCCTGACCCTGCAGCACATGCATGCGCGCAGGCGCAGACAGACAGACACACACACATACACATACACATACACCCCTTCCCTCCCTATTCGGCAAAGCACGGCCTCAAAAGACGGCTCTGGCCAGCTGCACCCTTCAACCAACGCATGCTCATCCAAATGCATTTTGACAGATAGTATTTCAGGAAGACCACGCGCATCATATATGTATGCATATATATATATATACATATGTATATGTAGATATATATATGTATATATATATGTATATATAGCTAGATGTGTGGTCAGCGGCAGCGGCAAAAACGCGGAGCTCACTGTGGCTGCAGCCCAGTACTGCTCGGTAGCGGCAATTATCTCCTTGCATCTGTCCTCTACGTGCTTGAGACTGCGAGAGGCTATTCTGAAGAAATTGCGGCTGTCACCACAAAAGAACTTGAGCTGAAAGAAACAGTCAAACGACACGGAAGCAAGCAATACAAAGGGTCACAAAAACAGGGAGGTGGGGTAGGAGAAAAAGTTGCGCACACATACATATACATACACATACACACACACACATACACATATATATATATATATACACATACACACCTACATGAGATCGATTCACATGGAGACCAGCGGATCAGCGAGCCCTTAAATGATGCAAGTTGCAGCCGAAACACAAACACAGAGGGCACAGGGAGCTCAGAGAGGAAGAATATGAGAAGTGATATATATACATATATATAATTATACATGCATACATAGATAGAAAAGTAGAGAGAGCGCGAGCAAGGGAAACGGAAACCGAGACAGGCTCGGAGTGTGCCAGCATGCGTGCCTCATTATACGACTTCATCCCTATTTATGTACCGATATTTTAGCCGTGAGACTAGAGAGAGGGATGAATAGATAGGAAACGATGGAAAGGGGGGCGTGGCAAGTTGAGAGTGCAGAAGGCAGGTGGTCAAGCCCACGGACCAACGAATGTAGGTTCGAGCGAGGAAGCAAGGAAAGGCGAGCAAAGAAGCGCACAAGCGTGGGGTTGAGAGCAGTTATCCGAGAAGATGCAAAAGGCAACGCAAATGAGAGGTGTGCAGGTGTCTCTCGCCACAAGTTGGGGGCCGCCTATATATACATATATACATATATATATGAGTCTCTCGAAAGCTTACTGCCGCATGCACGAGCGGGATTGCGTTGACGCCTTGCTCGTAGAGGCCCCACAGAAGAAGACGATCTTCTTCCTCTGTAAAGACAGCAGAGGGGCTGAGGCCGGCGGGGAGACGGAGATCGCTGGGTGTAGCGACAGCCCCCCCGAGCAACTGCTCTTCGACCTGCGACAGCAGACGTGACGAGAAGACATTCGCTTTACCCGTGAAAAGCCTCTTTTCCAGACACCAAAGCGTGGCGAGAGAGGGACAGAGAGACAGAGAGAGAGAGAGAGAGAGAGAGAGAGAGAGAGAGAGAGAGAGAGAGAGAGAGAGAGAGAGAGAGAGAGAGAGAGAGAGAGAGAGAGAGAGTTAGAGAGAGAGAGAGAGAGAGAGCGAGAGAGAGAGGGAGAGAGAGGGAGAGAAAGAGAGAAAGAGAGCAAGAGACAGAGAGAGAGAGATAGCGAACCCCAGCACCACCCGCACCGAACAACACACAACAACAGGCAACCGGCAAAAGACCGAGAAACACACCACCACC